TTTTACAAGAGTGTGAATCTCATTCAACTGGCAAAGGTTGCTCAAAATTACTATTATTCCATTCCAGTCAATAGATTGTGCTAAAGTGTTGGGATACTGCTAAAGTATTCGCCTACATTTGTTTTGAATAACACACAACTTTGAGACTCTTCTTATTGCCTCTTATCCTTTACACATATCACTGATGACCATCAGACACTTCAAAAGTACTTGACAACTGATTAAGTACCTAAATAGTGCTGGAGGAACACAGCAGGCCAGGCAGCATCTGAGGAGGAGGAAAGCTCCTCAGAAAGAAGGGTCCCGACTCGAAATGTCAGATGCTGCCTGGCCTGCTGTGTTCCTCCAGCTCCACACTGTGTTATCTCTGACCCCAGCATCGGCAGTTCTTACTATCTCTGATTAAGTACCTATGAACTTTGTCCAATTTTACATCCAATATTGTTGTCAATTTTTTTTGTGTTATCTATTTATCAGTAGGATATGAGTATTTCTAATGCAGGACATGAAATGAAAAGCTGAAATGACAGAGAGATGTATGGAGGGGGAGTGTGGAGTTTCTCTGGGTGTGCGCTTTGTGCAGGCAGATAGCTGGGACTGAGTGAGGATCTATCCATTTTGATGCAGTCTCTTGTTAGCATCCAGTTAATGGGCTGGTGGAGAGAAAGAGAGTAGCCCAGGGCTGGCCTCGGGTTCTAGGCTGCTACAACACCAGGTAAGGTAGGTCTTTTACTGGAGCGAGGTGTTATTTGAGCAGGTGGAGGATCCAGTGGCAGCCTAGGAGTCCTGATCCTCCTGGTTTCCCTGAAATATAGTGAAACCTCCCTATAGACTTATCCTCTGGTGTGGGAGCAGTTTAATTTATACATTGCACACAACACATTCTCGACTTCTTTCCATTCTTTTTCAATCTTTAACCCGACAAGAAATGGTAGCTTTCGATTGCACAATTCCTTTGTGAACATGTCACATTAATTTTTACAATGCTGAGAAAATAACACCAGTAGAGTGTGAGAGCAATTTATCTACAGTCATAAGGGCAAAGTGCAGAACACAGTGGTAAAGCCTTTAAAATGAATGGATTGTGGCATTTTAAAAATGGAAATCATACAGTTTTAACAGACTGTATAAACAAATTTTTGATATTCTGAAATAACATTGAAAGCACAGAAGGCCCTTCAGACAGAGAATAGTTCATCTTGAAAACCTTTAGCTCAGACTTTGATTATATTAAAAGCAGGAAGCTTGAGATTTTCTCGCAATTAATAAAAGGTCTTCTCTTAATGTTTGATATAATCATTAATTGCTTTCACAAAATGGAGCAGACATGAGTTGAACCAATATTTTTATGCATCTAAAGACTCAAATCTACTTTTGAATTGATTGTATACTCTGAGACCGTGATAACCCTGCACACATTGCTAATTGCTGAAAGAGTCTATGTAACACCCCAAAAGCTTAAACTATATTGGTCGTAACTTTTAACTTGGAATTTACAATCTTAAGCTTTTTCTGCACTATTGCCAGTTTATACATAATATCTTTAACTTTACTATTCTCAATGTATTAAATTAACATTTAGCATTAACACATCTAAGGCATTTAATAGTTCATATACTCATCTTCTAGTCCCAGCTAATCTGAACAATCCAGTGTCTGCTGAAGATGGTAAATGTTTATAAGAACACCTAGCTGATTAGTGTGTGTGTATTGTGGGATTCTGAATGACCTGTCCAATTGTCACATGCAATGTGAATGTCTGGCAACATTGCAAGATCTCAAAGTCAACATGGACATACAAATCAGTAAATCTGACAAAAGGAGTGAACAAAAACAGAACTTGCTGGCAAAACTCAGCAATTCTAGCAGCATCTGTGGGGACAAAGCAGAGTTAATGTTTCGAGTCTGGTCAATGTGACTATATCAACAAAAAGCACTCCACTCTTAACAACAGGTCCAAATGCTTATCTATTGGACCTGTCATTCAGCATGACTGGACAGCTTTACTTGAAAGTGAATTAAAAAATAAACACTTACTAAACTTGCACAAGAGTTGCTCAATGGTTAGCACTGCTGCCTCACAGCATCAGGGACCTGGGTTAATTCCAGCCTTGGGTGGCTATATGTGTGGAGTTTGCAATATTCTGTTTATTGTCTGCATGGGTGCTCTGTTTTCCATACACAGGGTTAGGTGGATTGGTCACGGTAAATTACCCCATAGTAGGCAGGTTCAGTGGATTAGTCTTGGTAAATGCAGGGTTATAGATTGTCGGGGGATGTTTTTCAGAGGGTCAGTGCAGACACACATGGGCCAAATGATTTCTTTCTAAATCGTAGGGACTCTATAAGAGCAACAAGTGTTTTTTTAAATTTGCTTTACTGTTTCATGGGATGTGGCTATTACTAGGCTTACCAGCATTTGTTCAGAGAACAGATAAGAGATAACCACATTGATGTGGGTCTGGAGTCACAAGTAGGCCAGATCTCATAAGAGCAGCAGAGTTTTTTTTTCCTAAAAATACATTAATGTACTAGATTGTCATTAAAAAACTATCTACAATGGTCACCATTAGACTAGTATTTTAAATGCCAGATTTTTCCTTTAACTGTTATGGTAGAATTGGAACCCATGTCAGAACATTAGCCTGGGCCTCTGGATTACTAGTCCAGTGACAATGCCACTATGTCACTGCCTCCCTACACAAGAGATGTACATGATATACTTCATCCCCAGGACTCACTGCACCTGTGAATGTGCAGGTTTACTAACAAACCCAAAAGTGATGTCCTTTTAGCTCTTTCCTATCTTTGACCAGTTTTGTACAACTTGAACTGGAAAAATAGTTGGGTTAATTGCTGCAACCAGTTCTGAGCAGTTTTTCTTTGCAGACGGTGAAGGATTCCTTCATATTTATGAAGATCATTTGGAACTTGCATATCAATAGCAACGCAGTGTCCATGTCTGCATTTGACATTCGTGAATAGGCTAGTAATATTGACATTGACATCAGATATAGAGCAGAATGACATGGTGATCTAAATCTCACAACATTATGTAAATCAACAACTTTCACTGTAGTGTTCAATTTGAATGCCACCATGTGTGCCCAAATAGAGGACGCTGCCATAGGATCTGCCAAGTTTCTTGCAAACATTGTTTTTGGGTTTGATAAGAAACGTGTCTTTGATTGATGACACCTAACCTCTATCCTTTGAATATTTCTGATACGTACATGATATGTTTGATATATTTGAATTTGCAATTCCATGTAAGAAGGTTCTCTTATGTCTTAATAGACTCCATTCTGTGCTCAAATTCACATCAGAAATGGAGCAGTTAAATGAGCTCACTTTCCTTAATGGCCAAGTTGCGAAATCAGTCAGGAGGGTCTCTCCTACTTTTTCTTGCAAACCTACCTTCATTCATCAATATATGCATTGGGACTCCTACTGCTCCACTCCCTATGAGATTGGCCTAATCAGCAAACTTATCAATAAGGCCTGAGCTAATTATTCACTATACAAGCTTAATGCTGAAAAAGCCATCTTGAGGGATAATGGCTACCCCAATCAAATCATTTCCAGCTTTATATCATGCAAATACATGAGCAGATCTAATTTAAACCAAAGTCACATGCCTCATCTTAACCTCAACAAAAGTCCCAATTCAGATTCTCCTGGTTCTCGAATTGTCGAGTAAAACTGATAGCATCTCAGAATTAGAGGAGGCTTGGCTTACTTAATTAAATCTGTCAACTCTTCAAAGGTTTTAGTATCTGGTGCCTCAGGGAAAGTAAGGTTCCTCAAAACCAAAAAAGCTGCAGGTCCACAATTGTCAGGGGAATCACTCATTGCTTTTCATCTGCCCCAATGTCATTCGCCCAGAAAAAAATTGCATTTTTTCCTCTTCCTGGGCCCAGTCTTTGACAGCAGGATCAAATGAGTCAAGCTTCCCAACTAACGGCATGATGCCAGAAATGCATACCCGACATCAAAGACGACTGTTGTGAGCGAATTTCTTCAGGAGCTTGCTTTTCCCTCGTCACCACTGAAATAACCCCACAGAGGTGGTATCCCATCACCAAGTCACCCTTTATTTACACATGGTGAGTCCTTGACACTGATCCAGCCTCCTCAGAGCCAGCTCTGAGAGAACAGGATGTCTGACACTCCAGTTCTTATCTGTCAGCCAGGGCTATCTTGATTAGACCAGATTAACAGCTCCAATCAAGGAACTCATATTGTATGTGGTCTACATAGCTGACCTTGTTACAATCACGACAAAAGTCGTTCCTCCTGAAGAGTGTGTTTTTTTGTTGTTAAGTCAGAAACATGACAGTCAATTTTGCACAAGGTCCCATATACAGCAACGAGGTACTGACTTGATAATCTGTTTTATTAAAGTTGTTTTGGGGGATAAACCCCCATTAGTACACCAGGGATAATTCCTTTGCCCTTCTTTGAAATAGTGCCATGAAATCCACTTGAGAGGACCCATGAGCCCTTGGTCAAACATCTCATTCAAAAGATGGCACTTCCAACATGCAATATTCCCTCAGTACTGCACTGGAGTGTTGGTCTAGAAATTGTCCCAATCTCTGGTATCAGATTGGAAATGTAGTCTTTTGCTTCTGAGATCAGAATGCTACCAATTGAGCTGTAGCCGACATGGATTCAGAAGCCCACTTGATGAAAATGAATGAGTTTGCGAGCAACTCAGCAGGATATCATGTATTTGTCTAGCAATCTTACTTAGCATACCTCTACTGTAATCACATTAACCGCTCCAAGCCTAAAACCAAAAATTGGCAGGCTTTCAAGATCCAATATGTGGAAATTAACACAATAGTTTGAATTTTTTTTCCTTTTGTTGGTTTCACTAAATGGTATTTACAACACAATAGCAATGAATTCTTCATGAGAGAATGTACTTAGCCTTATGTTCGTTCAGTGGTTTAGAATTCATTATCTCATCTCCGATTAATAATGGAATCAATTGCTCAGTTTTAATAAAGAGTATATTTTAACTGTTCTAACACTTCTTACAATTAACCTTTGTACATGAACCGAAAATGGATGGAATGCAAATTACAGCATTTCAAATCACTACCAACCAGATTGTTTACATATTAAGTCAAAGAACAATAATCAAGACAACTGTTAGTATAAAATAAATGGAATATGAAATTACTTTCAATTTCAAACAGAATTTTCAAAGCAAAGGTGAGCAAACTCAGCATGAGTGCCATACTATCACACCATCCTTGGTTTAAATTATGCATTAACTATTTTCATTGAAAATGGGTTATGCAGATTTACCAGAATGTTGACTGGACTAAAGTAACTAATTTATGAAGCAGAGGCGCATTGATGTGGCTTGTATTTTCTTGAGGATAGGATGATTAAAGGATGATTTTATGCATAAATTAGAGGAGTTGATCGGAAAGTGAATTAATATGGAACAAGGGGACACAGCCTTAAAATTAAAATTACGCCATTCTGGAAAGATGTCAGAAAGCCTATTTTAGCACAAATGTTGGTGAAAAACTGAAACATCCTTTGCCAAAAAAACCTCTTGATTCTAAGTAAATTGACAAATAAAAATAGAAATTAATTTTTTAGGGAGGGATGTTATGGGAGTTAGAGCCAAGGTGGTTACGTGATGTTAACTTACAGATAAGCTATGAGCTAATTAAATGCCAGTATGGGTTTGAGTGGCTGAATGGCCTTCCTCCATTCCTATACACCACATTGTGCTTTCTGATAACAAGCTATATTTAGAGATGGCTTTAAAATGAAAGTAAGTAATTCAGTTTTGTATCCACTCAGAAACCATTACTGTCACCACCTTTGGGACCTGAATGCAAAATTGTGGCACTTGAGTTTGCAAGTAATACCAAACATTAAAAAATAATTCACAGGATTTGTTGCAGAATGTTGTACCATGTCAAACCACTTGCACCTCTTAAATACAAAATGGGAGCTTTTAAATTGCAGAGATCTGAATGTTCCTTGCATGAAACAACTTTAGACTTAAATGATCCTTCCCACTATATAACTCATTCAAAAGATTGTACAGGACATTGCACAGCTTGGAATACTTTTCTGAAAGTTTTATAACAGATCAATTATAGCTACATAATAATTCACTTACAATAGACATTTCTGAACATAGTGCAAAATCTTTTACAACTGAATTAAGACATCCTTTACACAGGTCAATCTTCACAAAAAGTAGGCACTTGTTTGGGTTTGCCATCACCAATTCTTCAGTGCATAAAGACCCTAAAGCTCATTCAGGATGAACTATCGAATTCCTTTCTTAAAATTCACTGCAAATTTCCACGTCTGGACGCTTTTAGCCAGAGTGATTTCACCAGAAAGGTTGTCTTCTAGTCCTGGCAGAATATCAGAATCCTTGGACTCCAAGTAAGTCAAAATTGTGTCACTAAGGCTGAAATCAAACAAAGATTAAATGCTTAAAACTCAAAACAAAATGCAGAATATATTGAAGCACCTTCTCTCATCTGTTCTCATCTCAAGTCACAATAAACAGATGCACCATGATTTTGCCTTTTTAAAAATTTGCCTACTTGCCAATTTACTTTGATGGGATGTTTTGGGCCGATTTTATTTTGCAACTACATACTGCACATACACTGGCATACAGGGGCCTCCATCTACACCTCTAACGCAGGTACATCATCCAGGGACAGAATCTTATAAAATGAAGGTGCTGCCAGCATTCCTTCTATCAGCCCAAGGTAACTGTTACTGGAGATTACAGGGTCATTGGACCGCTGCTGCATTTCATCACAGTACTGTATAGTCAATGGCACAGCAAAGAAAGGGAAAGACAAAGGAAGTTGAGAAAACACATCATTGTTTCTAGACGCGTAGGTCTATTGAGGCCTTAATTGCCCAATCTAGTAACAATCTAAGACCTCATTCCAACTCCACTGCCATGATACATTCAGCAGTGAAAATAGGAAGCCTGATTTCTCACTATCTGAGATCCTTCAAAACTTCAGTATGTACTTGAGCGTAGGCTTTGATAGCAATTTGGAATTGACAGTGTCTCTCTTCACCAATGTGAGGCAATGATGATGGTGATGCCATCCTATTAGGGGGGAGTTAATGTATTGGAGGAATGGCCTTTGATGGAAAGACTTGTAGTACCTTGTCCCTATATCTTTTTAGCATCTTATCCTGTCAGTACCTGAACCTCAGTCATGGAAAAACCCGAGCATTATACACTTTACAAGTGCTTTCAACTTAAAGCATCCAGCAGGAAACTGAAGAGATTTAATTGATCACCTGTCTAATATTTAACCTGATTTTATATTCCATGAAAATGCAAGTTAAGTGTGCAATAGTCCCTCAGAAAGACAATAACACTTGTTTGTGATAAGAACCTGGGTAAGGAATGTTTAAACATGGGGAGGCTGTTGTGCTGCAGCAGCTATGTGGTTTTGGGTGACTGAGAAATTCTTTTGCTCTTACTATCTGCCATAAGTGTATTGGACATCTTTAGAGTTTGACGATCAAGCTGCTTGGCCATGCAATGGCATACTTTCCCTGACCATCAATTTTTAAACTCAGAAACACTAGCCCAGAAATAGGGACACTACCACTGTGCCACAAGATCTTCAAGTCCAGAATGAAATCAACCAACTCAAGTAAAGGATGTCCAGTCCGAATCATCAGTTTCCTATGATGGTAGGTTAGAAATTACCCTGAATTGTGCAATGCCCACTTTACTAAAATGCCCAACCTACTGGTAATCCTCAGTGAGCCAATCAAAATTAGTGCTGATTTTTATGAAAGCACTGTGCTCTTCCCTTATGCCAGAATTATTCAAACTTGTTCTGCTTGGGATTCTTAACCAAGAAGGGTAAACCTTGCTTTCTGGGAAGAACTTCATTCCAGTTGCAGATTGAAAGGGAAGTAATCAGTGAGGCTGTTTAGTTGTACTGTAACAACTGGTGCATATTACCTCCATGTCGATGAGAAGTTGTCATCTACATTGCTTTGAGTAGTCTTCAGGACCAGAATCTCATGCAGCTCCCAGAGAAATGTGTTGATGTTTGTGGATGCAAAAAAGGTTCTCAGCTCTGCTTCTTCTTTAGGAAGTAAGTGTTCCTTGTATGCCTTAGGGATTCTCTCAAATGGGTCCTAATAAAAACAAGAGAGAAATTAGTAATATTGTAATGCTGTTCCTTTCAATTTATTGAAAGCCAGTTATTAAAACATTGAGTAAGGGATGCTGCAAAATTATGTTTCCAATTCACCAAATTGGATGCCATGATGGGTCAACAGACAGTCACTATAAAATCTAAAAGAGAATTTAGGACGGACTTCTTTATCCAGAAATTAGTGATAAAAAGATCTGTAGAATAAAAAGCTGTCTTTGTAATCATGATGTCATTATTAATATCATTACTACTGGTATCACTGTTTTCATGTTATCATTTTCCCTCTAACCTCACAGTTTGCACCTTACGATCAGATTGAGACTATCTGGAATTCTGACTGGATGACCCAATCTGGTTCAGTTTGAGTTCAGCGCTCAGGTGATGGTGTTGTAAAATGTCTGAAGTAGCTTTCCAGTCTGTACACTGTCAGATGTAGTAATATATATATGGTTGTCTCATATTCTCTGCTATTCATACTTTGTCCCACTTCTTGGCTTGAGTAAGATCAATGCCTTCCTATTCCTCCTGACTGTCCCTTTAGATGTTCTGTAAATATGAGATCTCAGCTGTCCTTACAATGTGGCTTCTGACATCCAGTTCTTTAATCACACTTTTGTGTTCAAGGTTGATGTTTAAGGTTGACAGAGTTTTTGCCCTGTGTTTAGAGATGTACCATGTTTATTATTTTTTAACTGTGGACTTTCCCCAGTTGTTTAACCTTTGTGGTTTTAAGAGGTTACGTCTGGCGTGAGTTTGGGTTCTAAATCCAGAATATCTGTTTTTAAACCACTCCCCATGGGTGATTCAGCTGGTGAGTACATTGCTCAATGGTGTTGCTCTTTAAAAGAGTAGAGCCAACTCCCAGTCTAGATTCTTGTGCAGGGATTCCAGTATTGACTATTATTTCCATTTGACCAAGGATAGAGTGGGGAAGTTGACATCTGCCTCCAAAGTGAACTTCCTGAAAGGCACACTCACAAATTGGCTTATTTCATTCAATACTAATTCTTCTGAGAAACTGTGTATTGTGATGATCCTTTTTCAATCTCTGATCAGAATCTGCAGTGATTGAATGAAGTATTTCCACTTCAGTCCATCGTGAATAATAGACACCGAGGACTAAATACATCTTCTCTCTAAAACGAAACAAGTCAAGGCATTGCCAGCCTTTCCAATGGCTTTCCTGATGGGCAATGTATGTGTGGCAATTATAATGAGTGAGTACACCTGCATTGCAATGTGTTAAAATAGAAGTACAATGTAATATCTTTTTAAATCTTGTCAATATCTCCAACCTGTTACTGATTCCAAACAATTGCTGGCTGTTTTTCTAAAGTTCTGTTTTGGGTTGAGTAAGACTGGCTAATTGGTGATAAATTCTCACATTTGATTCACCACACATAAGAAGTGCTGTTCATCATTTATGTACTTTGGTGCTGAAGATTCACTGATGGCTCGTCTTCCTTGGATCTACTGTGATGTAGTATTTTTGGATAATATGTCCGAGGAATGTAATTGCTGTTCTAGATGATTGTATTTCTTATTTGATGTAAGGCCTATTTTCTGTCATGCCTTTAACATGTCCCTGACCTTCTTGCCATGTTCTTTCTTTGTTTCAGCTTGCAGTCAATTGTCATCCAAATAGGTCCCCATTCCCTTCAAGATTTAAGACAATGATTTGGAAGTCTCTGGTTCATCCCAGACAGTGGATGGATGAATCAAAAATGCCCAAAAGGTGTAATAAATGTAGTCAGCAATTTTCATGTTTGATCTCAAAGCACCTGCCACAAACCACTGTTGGGATCCAGATATGTGAAAAACTTGTTTGTTGTCAACTTTACCAAACTATCATCGACAGGTAGAAAGGTTGTTTTCCCTCCTTACTCCTTGTCTAACTGATTGGGATCTACACACTATCTTAGTTCTCCACTTGTTTTAGGAATAGTAGCCCTGATCACCACTGTTTCAGCTCTGTCAATGGTGATATGAACTCCCCCCAACTATAGATGATGCCATCAGATTGAGATTTCCCACAAAGGATGAGGAATTTTCTTGGGGGTGTACAAGCAGATGTTTGCAGTAATTCTGTTCTGCCTTCACTCTGAAATACTGTATTTACTCTCCCAACGAAACTAAGATGAATTTATGCATTTCTGCTTAACAATGAGGATTTCTGATTCCTCGTTATATATTGTCTTTCATAAACATTTTGTCCTCTGTGACTAGGCTTCATGGTGATATGTTCGTGGGCTTGAACTTGGAGTTTTATGACAGCTGGTCTGAGTCTCAAATTTTAACTGTGGCAAGCTGTCTGCAAGTATTGCAACAATTGCTACTTTTCAAATTTAAATTCTGTTTTAAAACCTTGTACCTTCAAATTGCTGGTCTGTTTTGACTCACTTTGATCTCCTGGGGAACACTGTCTTTATATGTTCTGTATCTTTAACTTCTTGACCATTTTCCTTTCAGCATGATTTCTATTTCTCTGGAAATGGTCCTTTTACAGGACATTTTCTTTGCTTTTGAAGTGGTCAAACGTGATATTAACTTGCAAAATTTTCTGATGTGTCCCAATTCTGTTTGGAGCCACATCTTGTTAGCCTAATATGATTGATGATTTTGATCCCCACTCTTTGACTGAGATTCCAGGAAGGTAATAATGCCATATTTGGATCTATCCATTTAACTGCATCAGAAGAATACCCAACGCTTCCTCTCAATAATGACCGATTTTGAGCCCAATTTCTGTCTGTGTAGCAAATTGGATTGCTTATTGCAATATCAAGTCTTCCTTGAACTGTAAGAAGTCTGATAACTTCTCATCCCTCACATTGGCCACAATGTTGTTTCTAATTAATTAATTAATCTTTTAAAGCTCCATAGCTGCAACATCTTACAAGATAATATAGATCTACTACAAAGGCTTCTACTGATTCTTCCAAATGCTCTCACTAAATTTCTTTTGAGGCAAAATCACGTGTTGAATAATTTAATAAATGCGTGATACTTCATAATACTTTCTTCACATTTGTCTTAATAGAACATTATCAGCTATTCGACCTACAAACTATTGACTTGAAGGCACTGCTCCTACATGTATAAGCCTGAAGATATTACAGAGCTGAAAACTGCCACTTCCAGAGCTCTCACTGCTGCTTCATTGTGCGCATTCCATGTTAGCAGATAGTTGAAGTAATGAAGATATCTCTACAAGAATTGTCACCCTGATGGACCATAGAGCTTGACTGACCTAATTTTCCTTCTTACTGTGATAGTGTTCAATCCAGTAGTTCACCTTTCCAAATTATTGTTATTTATTGACTACGTTTCACAGGCTTCAGAGGACTTTTTTCTCATCCTTTGGTGTCTTCCCCATCTGTAGCCCTGTAATCAACGTCTTCTACAGTCTTGCCCTGTCTTCAGAACTTTCTCACTATTTACTCAGCTGCACCTTCAAAGTCTTCCAAGGTCATGTCTTGCCTTTATAATCTTCCCTTTTCAGCTGTGTCCTTTGGCTACCACCATGGTTTACTCTTGTGCTTAAGGTCAATACTGCTTTCTGCACATTGAGATAACAGTCTGGAGTTTCTCTGGGTCATGGATGTCTTCACATACACTGAAATATCCAGACAGGCTGGTATCCTGTCATCAAGTTACCTTTTATTTACACATGGACAGTCCTTGACTCTGATCCAGCTCCCTAAGAATCAGCTCTCAGAGTGAACAGGATCTTCGACACTCCTGTTCTTATTTGTCAGCCAGGCCTCCCTGAGATTGGACCAGATTAACAGCTCCAATCAGGAAACTCATATTCTATGAGGTCCACCTGGCTGACTTCATTACAATCACTACATACACTGTCCCTGAAGTTGCCAGCACCACATCTCTAAGTAAAGCTCTTTAACTCCTCATGTTTTGTAACCCCTTTTACTTAAACCGGTACATAGTTGGTTCTCAAATATAACTCTCTAGTATAATGCATTAGGCCTCTCTCTTCACATGTTCATTATAGGCTAATGTCTTCTCTCTAAATGAAGGCATCAGGTTATCAGTTACCTCATCATGATTTATGTTTTTCTTCTTTATATTTTCATGGGATGTGGGTGTCACTGGTAAGACCAGCATTTGTTGTCCATTCCTAATTCCCTTTGAACTATATGGTTTGCTCAGCTATTTCAGAAGGCAGTTATAAGTCACCCACACTGCTGTGGACTAGGAATCATGAATAGGCCTGATGAGGTAAGGATGGCAGATTTCCTTCCCTAAAAGACATCATTGAACTACTTGGGTTTTTATGACAATCAACGAGAGTTTTGTGATCATCATTACTGAGACATTCAATTCCAGCTTTGTGAATTAAATTTACATTTCACTAGCTGCTATCCTAGGATTTGAACATGTTCTCATGAGCATTTGTTTGGGCATGTGGATGACATTACCACTACACAACTGTCTCCCCTTAATCGTATTATGCCATAATCAGAGCTGAAAAGCTACAGTGATCTCTTTTAGAGGGAAAAGTAGAAGACAGTAAATAGAAGGGGTCATAGTTGAGCCACAGTAGATTTGTGAGGGTGATGCAGATGACAGACAAAGACAAACAAGAGTGACAAACCAGGACAGCAAGGGTCCACCTGAAATGTCAACTTTGCTGCTCCTCTGATGCTGCCTGGCCTGCAGCAAAACTCTAGGCAAGATTAGCTATGTGCACAGGCAGAGAGGTTAGACGATGAAACTTGGTATCACACAGTGTAACTGAAATTAATAGCAGAGATATAGAAGGATATGTTAAATTGTGTTAGATATAAAAGGCTTGGCGAGACATACGTACAGCATAAACACCAATGTAGACTTGTTAAACTGAAGGATCTGTTTCTCTGCTCTAAATACTTCAGTAAATGAGTGACTGAAACATTCTCAGGCACTTTGCAACCTCTGGTCTTCGAATAACATTTCACAAATAATACTCTATCATTGAACGTTTCCTCAATTGACACTAACTTGCACTGCAGCTCCCCAAACCAATGGTCCTATTTCTCCAACATATCTTTGAACATATTCAACACTCAACTCAAAACAAGTCAGTGATATCATTAAGGGGAGGTGCCATGGCACATGACCACTCTCTCAGTATGAAAGCAGCATTGTGTCTGGCTTAATGACCATACAGTGACAAATCTATGGAGGAGAGATGGAGATAGACAGATAGAAAGAAAGAGAGACAGATGGGGGAAGTGAGAAAGACAGAGGTTATTCTTGCATCCCTCAAAGGGGTAATGGTCAGTTATCTAACAACAAGTATTCCTTGGGGATAATGGATGAAAAGCAAAGGATAGAGGACAGAAATAAAATCTTAATATAAAGGGAGTGCCACTCTCAAAACGATGTTTAGAGTCAATAATTACAACTTGTAAAGAGGGCAACACAGTTAAAGTTGAGAGCAGCATTGAAGTAACTTATGACTTTCCATCCTGTAAGGGTCACTTTTTTAATGTATCAGCCAATTCCCTTTTCTAATCCACTTAACATATTTTATTTCAGTTTTATAGGTATGTTGCCGAACAAGAACACTGGTATGACCAATCTCACCTTCCCTGTGCTCAGCATGATCTCAGATTTCCACGATGATAAGAGTTGCCAGAGGGACAGAGTGTGCTTTAGTTTGCATCCTTCAAATGCCTAGTGGGAGAATTACAAAAACATTGCAGGTAAGATAAGGCAGATGGAAAATTGACACAACATTCTGACAGGAACCAAATTACTGTGCCCATATGTGGTGTAATTGGTAAATAACTACAGATCTCATGGTCCAGAATCATGTGATCTCAGTACTCTGACTGGCAGTGTACCAAAGTACTTTAACCTTTCTGTGCATTTGTTGATAAAATGGCATGATGAAAAGCAAAGTTATCTGAGTTTATTCTGATCATCATGAGTGCTTTATTTCCTTGGTTACTAAACAGTGGTAGCTGTTTGTATTGCAAATACAATCAAGTGAAGTGCATTTACCTGTATTGTGTGCAAGCCGTTATCCATTAAAATTAGTGCATTCGGCTAAATGGTGTCATTATAGTCACACCTGTGGTAGTCAGTATTTTCTATTGGGAAAGATTGAGTTGGGTAAAGATGAACAAGTGGGGATATGTGAAGAGAAAGTCCGTGGTTTAATGATGTGGGTGCAGACACAGGACAGTGACAAACTAATCCAAATACTAAACATTTACAGCCAATAGCTATTTAGGAAATCCAGTAAATGAAATAGAATGGAAAAGCTGTAAAAGAAGTTGCTGGTAAGTAATTGAAAGGTGAAAAGACAAATATGGTTACAGTGTTGGAGAGGAAGTGTTTACCTTATGCAAGCACTAATGACGTTTCCCAGATAATGAGTATGTTTATACAGACCTTGCTGACACAGGTTAACACCCGCCGATCCATCCGTAAAGTCTCTTTGAGGTAGCAGAGGAGCTGGCTGTCTGGGGATCCTCCTGCAGTAGCAAGGAATCCGACCACAATCTCAATGATATCCAGGGCATCACAAATGTCACTGTAAGATTTCAGCACTGTTGTGACTGCAGTGCAGACAGAATGTGATAATATTTCCTTCAATGGAGAAAAGAAAATAAATGTCATTTCCTCAATTTATTTTCATACAAATTGGTAAAACTGTAAGTGAACATTGAGTAATGATGCCTTGTGGGTACTGGTGCTAGTATTGGCTGAATCACACTATTTAGAATGGAGCTGCCAGAGCTGTTGAGGATCCAACAGCCAATTGGACAGAGAAAACCACAAGAACAGTAAGAAGAGATAGACTAGCAGTCAAATTTAACTTGGTAACAGGCAGAGGTGGAGGATAATGATAGAAGGATGACAAAAATCTACGATCCTGAACCTATTCTTTTAGGTCCCAACCTATTCATATCTCACAGCTCTTCAGAGACAAGATCATTCTAGCGTCCAAGAGATCCAGGCCTCAATATATACAGGTCTGTGATCGAGACCATAAAATATCCCTTGAAGACAGACTGACCAATGAATACACTGCATTAAATTGCTGTTCTACAGTTTTGCCATTAGTGGGTCCTCCAAGGTTAGCTACACTCAGTGGGAGTAGTGAAGCATTCTAATAGCACATTAGAAAATGCTGAAAACCTTTCATAGATTCCCGGACTGGTGTGTTATTAAATAAAAACATTAATTCTTCCCATACAGCATCCGAAACAGAGATTGTAAAGGTGAAATGACAACACTGAAGCATGTCAATGATTGTTCTGTTTTGAGTAGGGACAGAATTATACTATCTCAGTTCTAATTGAGACAAATACAAACATAAAGTCATTTGTTTGCTTTGTTTATCACCAACTTGGATTTAAATGGCAAAATACCTGCCAGAAAAGGTGAGGGCTTCATTTTTATTTAGCAGTCCTGTGCTATTTTGGTACATCTGTCCACAAACTTGCTGAAAGCAGGAATCACACATTGGAAAATGGCCAGAAACAGCATCACTTGGAGGAATGATCAGAAGCACCTCTGGGATTAATTTACAATCAACAAAAATCACTTGACTGATTTGGGGCACCACAACTGCCTTGCTGTTAATCCTTCCCTTTCATTAATGCCCCAAATTGCTGTAGTCCTCCCCTTTAGGTCTTCTGCTGTAATCCTGTGAATGTGGATCACTGATGATTTCGTGCCTTCTTTCTGCCTCTGCAATCCTAAAAATACTGGTGAACTGCTTGATGGCACTCAAAATGTGTTGACAGCTAAATATAATTGACGCCTCTCGCTATGTCCCAGAAGGAAAAACCTGTAATGAAGATAATAAAACTTGGAAATGAATGTACTGGTTGTACTGGAACACTGTTCTGAGGTATACATCCCCATGGGGGAGGCGATGGCCTAGTGGTATTATCGCTGGACAGTTAATCCAGAGATCCAGATAACGTTCTGGGGATCTGGGTTTAAATCCTGCCATGGCAGATGGTGGAATTTGAATTCAATAAAATATCTGGAATTAAGAGTCTAATGATGACCATGAATCCATTGTCGATTGTCAGGAAAAACCCATCTGGTTCACTTAATGTCCTTTAGGGAAGGAAACTGCCTTCCTTACCTGGTCTGGCCTACGTGTGACTCCAGATCCACAGCAAAGTGGTTGACTCTTAACTGCCCTCTGGGCAATTAGGGATAAGCAATAAATGCTGCCTAGCCAACAATGCCCTTATCCCGTGAATGAATAAAAGAAACAAGTCAGACCACTGTGCATCATTCACAAATTTTTACTTGTTTTTCCTCCTGGACAGGGATCTCTGGTGACCATGATGTTTGCTTTAGCCTCCAGACATACTCTCAGCAGTATGATCTATGTTTGTCAGTAATTGTTGGCTTTTTATAATGTAATCTTCTCACCAAATATTTACTGTATCTTGTTCAGGAATGTGTTAAAATGCTGTGTTTTTGCATGTCACCAGCAAATGTTTGCTCAGACGAATTCAGCCATTAAATGGGACACTGTACTATAGCAGACTACTGCACTTTGGCCAGAAGCTACTTGTCCAGGTCTACCATAAAACACAAATATTGAAACAAATGTATCTGACTGTAAGTTATGTCCTGCCAATTTTAACTCCAGACTGCAGCACTTGTTCTGCCCAAGGAAAATAGTTACTTGAGATATCTTTGCTTTTAGTTCCGTGAAGATGCTTGAATAATCTCTTTCATGTCTTCCAACAAATTTGGGTATTTTCTGTAAAAAAAAAAGTAAATGTTAATTGGTTCTGTCATTATAAAGTTAGACCAATCTTCAAAAAATATACTTACAGAGTCAACTATGAATGGTTTTCCTTTCAGGAATAGTCGTATTAACTGACGTTCAATGTTTTTAATATCATACTCCGGTAATGTCTCGTGTCCTTTTTCCAGGAAGTACTGGCAGTTTGATAAAACCAGTGGAATGAAATCTTTATCAGGGTCACAGACAATTAACTGTGCATCGGATACCTCTTCTGGATTGATGGATGATCTGCCAGAAATAAAATGGATCTATCATGTGAATTATACATAATTATATGAAGTAATCTCACTCTGAAATGGAAAGAAGAAACTGCAATTGGCAACACAGTAATGATGGAACTTCACTTTAGAATTAGAATCAGCTTTATCGTCACATGTACTCAGATGAGTATAGTGAAAAGCTTACAGTGCCTTCTTAGGTGCAAAGGTCCCTAGATACAACTTCAGTTACAATACTTAGAAAAACAGAGAAGTAAAAAGTCAAACATTGCAGATTTTAGGAACAAATTATAAAATGGAACAAAACAAAAATTGAATCATGCTATCTGGGAAACATAAACAAGAACTGTGTCTAATCTTGGTCAAGTAGATTCACTAACTGGGTGCCAATCAGGAAAATCAATCCAGGAAGGTGCTTACTTTTTATGATCACTCATGGCTCCAAGGAGATCATTTTGGATCTCAATGAGAAACTTGCTGAGTTCAATGGCACAAAGGCCTGGACCCTGTGGTTGAGGCAACAAAATTTCAATGGAGTTTTCAAACGTTAAATCCTTTTGGCACAGCTCTTGTGGGATTTTCAGATCTGGAAAACAAAATATTGAAAATATAACTGAAAGAGATGTATGCAACTTTGCATATGGCTGAGTTTGCTAAATCTTTCTGGAGCTCTGAGGGAATCGCGATAGCCTAAAATAATTGTATAGAAGCAGCTAGGCGAGAACCAGCAGGCATAATTTTCAACTGAGTTAAAGGTAATTTCAAATAGCTTAACCTATCACACTTACTAACCTATGAGACAAATTGCTATTTTGAGCAATGAACATGAAAGAGGTTGTTTAAAAAAATCGAACAGACTGATTCCTACCTCAACAAGAAGGTGGTTTGGAATTGGCAGCATGATAGAAAGGAGGCAGTTTAATGCATAACATTCAAAGTGGGCCTAAAGAAGGGTATAATTTGGTTGTATAAAATGGTTTTTCGTAAACAACCATGCAGTATATTTTAATGTTTAAATATTCTGACTTGTAGGTGACCAGCACTTCCACAGGATCAAAAGGTTTACTATAAATTTGATTCCCAAAAAGTTCTTCATTTAATTGCACTGCATGGTCTTCCACAGAATCTCAGTTTAGACTACTAGAAGATAGACTTGCACACCATGATGGTTTTAGTAACTGCACACTCATTCCTGCTGTACAGAATGGATATATATCAATTTGTCTTTCTTTAAGCCAAACCATATTCACTTCTTCAACTCCCTCAGCTAAAAATTTGGTGTGGGAAAAACCCTAATGTCAGAAAATCTCAAAATGATATCATGTGACACAGATACATAAACACACAGATTTCAGGAAATTCTTCCCTTCAGTCAGAGACTGAAGAGAGGCTATACAGTTCTGGAGCCTCTAATCGCACTGGCAATTATGACTGTTGTGAAAAGTGTTAGGAACTATCCAGCAGAATAGGATAACTAAATAACACGACTGCATCAGGAAAATGGATCCAATAGTTAACGCAACAGTCATAATACACTCACTGTTTTCTGCCAGTAACAAACGCAGCTGATTCCAAAGCTGTAAAAAAATCTTGATCCTTTTTTCAAAGTTTTGCTTTTGGCCCTGTTGACCTAGAAACACGAAAATGAAACGAATAAATTAAGTGTCAATAAGCAAAACATAAATACCACCGTCGTGCATCTATAATTAATTGCACTCCACTTATATTCTATGCTTCTCCTAATTCCCCTTCTTTTCATTGTCCAACAGACAATCATCATATGGATTAGAAAGAGCAGAAAATTATTTGATCAGCTACTATCTAGTTTACTGTTGTACATTTCCACTGTATTCATAGTAAATGAGCTTCGTACAACTGAACACTTCTTGCATTAAAAGTAGCATTTTACCTGAAGCCATTTGCTGAAGGAACTGAGAAATGGTCTTTGATTTCACATTTGAGGCACTTTGGAATGTCCTGATTAATTCATACTGCAGTCCAAGAAGATCGGGTAACTTCTTAAGCATCTTTATATAACTTGCCTAAAAAATAAGTTAGGATGGATGTCATTTTATAAGGTAACCAAGTTAAGATATTGGTCATGGATCGTTAAGTTTCTAGCAGCCCTAAATTTTGTTTCTCTTTAACAGTTAGTAAAACCATTACATGACAGCAAACAAATTAGTTAAGAAAGGGCAAATACTCCACTATTTTTCAGAAACATGTACAATGCACTTTTAAGTGAACTACTCATGTGACTTTAAATAGCTCCAGTTTGACATTAGGTGGATTTAATGAAAGTTAAAGAAATTTAACATAACCATCCAGAGAGAAAGTAGGCTGGATAATGTTACTTTCTCAGCGCACAAAATTAATCACTTTTTAAACCCAACGAGGGCTTCAAATTCCTAATTTGAGGATCCCTTCTAAAACATATGAAGGAATGGACTTACTGATTGCAGTCATCAGGACCCAGATGCATAGATGTTTTTCAAGGAATGAAGTTGGGAGGGACAAAAAGTTGCATGAGAAGGCAGGAATGTACTGTTTAGCACTGAGACAGAGACAGTAGCTTTAACAATTCCTGCCAGGCAAGTACTGGACAGTGACAGTTAACATGGAGGGGAGGCCCTTACCCATCCAATTCTTGCCCGATAAGCATCTGTTCTGAGGCTGTGGGCTCCTTCCTTAAATACGTAGATCAGGCTTTGAAACAGAACCGGCTCTTTTGATGAGGGGAGCAGTGATGGCTTCTCCACCAAGCCAAAGGTGTTGAGATCTGACTGCAGGGTCAATATAATTGTTCACATTTATTTTTACAGTTTTCCTAGTGAATGAAAATAGGGGAATAGCCTGGGGTACGAGGTACTTCGAAAGGAGGCTGTGAGGCCGCATGCTGTCCCAGGCCACAAGTGCTCCATGAGCAATTCATTGTAATTATTTTGTGCTGAAGACTGTTATTCTCGATCTGCAGCCACAAGAGGTTGTAAAGTATGTTCATGAGGGTCATCAATTAGACATCTACAATCTGCTTCCAGATGAACCAGCCGCTTGCTAAGCTGTCTTCTCAAACAGGAATGAAAATGTGATCCCACCACATCAAAGTACTGTAAAAGGTAAAGTTGCCATAGTCGTACCAGACCATAGGAACACTGCCTCGTTAGAGAGAAACAATTAGTGGTGGTTTAACCTGAGAGTCGCCATGCCTCAGACGAGGGGAGAGGCTGAGCAGCAGCATCCTTCATGCCCACCTCTGCTGGTGCAGGAATTGAACCCACACTGATGGTGTTACTCTGCATCTTAAATCATTCATCCAGCCAACTGAACAAAAACAAAAGTTGCTGGAAAAGCTCAGCAGGTCTGGCAGCATCTGTGAAGAAAAAAATCAGAGTTAACGTTTCGGGTCCGGTGACCCTTCCTCAGAACACCTGAAACGTTAACTCTGATCTTTTCCTTCACAGATGCTGCCAGATCTGATGAGTTTTTTCAGCAACTTCTGTTTTTGTTCCTGATTTACAGCATCCACAGTTCTTTCAGTTTTTATCCAGCCAGCTGAGTCTGGTGTGCCTAAACAGCAGCGCAACTAGCAGGTAGGTCTGACAAGCTTAAACAATCAAATATTAGGACAACAATAATATCAAAGGCATTTTGAGATTCTTATGTACGCTTATTACTTTGTTATATGACATTTATTGACTTGGAATATCTTGCAAACATAACAAAATTTTCTGTGTCCAAGTCACCACATAAGCTGAAGGATAATTATTGTCTCATTATTTTCTCTCTAAATACCTTTTCTGACAGTGATGGGAAATCCAATTGCAAAAAGGGTCATTTTCAATGTCTTCTTTCTGCTTCTTTGGCAAATTTATTAGCTTAAAAGCTGAATGACAACACCAGGCAGGTTTAGATTCAATCTACAATCTATACCCAGTTAACTAATGTCTGTCAAGAGGTGGTAAAGGAATGGAGCTGCTTTTAGAAAATTATGTTTAACTTAAAATGTCAACTGTTATGGACGTGAAAAGATCTAATGCTAAATATACATACATCTTACAGGGGATGGAATCAAATCAAGTTGTGGAATGAGAGATCTGAGAGTTGTAATGCATAACTCTGGAAATGACCATGGCTAGTGCTGGAAGGTTATTGCTAAAGCAAATAGGATTGTAAGCTGTATTCACAGCAAAAATCAATACAAAGCAAAGCTTATCAATTTGTCCTTGCACGAGACCTTGGTGCAAAATGCTGAGCCTTTGCAAAGAGTACAGAAGAGGGCCACAAGATTAATTTAATGTCCAAAACATTTCATTTATACGGACAAACTAGACATTTAGAAAAATGAGATAACAAGGTGTAGAGCTGGATGAACACAGCAGGCCAAGCAGCATCAGAGGAGCAGGAAAGCTGATGTTTCGGGCCTAGACCCTTCTTAGAAAAATGTTGACTCAAAGCAAGTTTCATAAAGGTTCACAAAATTATGAAGGGTCTAGGTTATGTCAATGTTGAACAATTATTTCAACTGTGTAGATTTGGGAAGACCTGAGGATAGGCTTCAGGTTACAAAAAGAAAGAACTGATTTGAATATAAGATGACTCTCCTTTTGGCACAGAAAAGTAGATAGTGGTTCTTGTTCCTGGATTTTGTGGTGAGCACTGATGCACTGTATTGCTTTAAGAGCTACACCTACTCTTTAGATCACATAAATGTTTTAATGTTCTGGTGATCTTTTGTTCTTACTGGGAACATTCCTGCCATTATCACATCAATGAACCTTGTTATGGGTGGCATTTTATGTTAAGAGCTATTCTGCTAATTAAGAATGACTTAAAATAAAAACACAAAATACCTTTTGAAGAAATTTCCACAGTACAGGTGTTGCTTTCTTTCCCCCCTTTTGCTCTACAATCTGAGCAAAGTTCTCTACACATATTCGACGATTGTATTTCCAGGCAGAAGAACAGTTTAAAACATCATTAGAGGTGACAAAATCTGATGGGTCTCCGAACAGCATTGTAACAACAGGACTCCCACCAATTCTCTCATCAGAACTGATCTGCTTGCCCACATGCGACAACATTTCATCAAGGTTCTGTGAATTAGAAAAAGAGAGGAAAGCATCTTAGTTTACTGCCTTCATGACTTGAATGTTCTTCAGCAAGTTAAGTGTAGAACTGTCTATGGCTATATGGTGGAACACATTTTAACTACTACTTAATGTTTAGTGACCAGGTTTCATTTAAACTCAACATTTTATTTTTAATATCCAAGCATGAGTAGAATTCCCTGAACATTTGGATGTTGGTTTCCAATAAACGATACTGTATTGAAAAGAGACTAAATATCCTACAAACGGATTCGGCCCTGTTATATCATCAGTGTCTGGAAGAGCATGTCCAGGATAAATGATTGCCCTAGGTTTTGGTACACAATCTATCATAGTTCATTTCGGTTGTCAACCACATCCTTGTCTTCATTGTAAAGTGATAAATATCACATTGTCAGCTCAATGTGTACAGACTAAAAATAACAATTAGATTTGTTAAAAGTAAGATCATATACAGGAGCAGGAAAGTGCAGCAAGAAACTAAAACTGTAAGCAAAACGTCATTGGTGATCAAGAATTTAATGATCTTCACTATAACTTTGACTTAGCAAAATTCCTGGACAATCATATTGACCCTGAGGTTTATTCAGAAATAAAGTTGAACAGACAGGATGATTTATGCAATAGAAAGGGTAATCATATCACAGATGTTGATGTTGAGACAATAACTCTTTTTAGTGGTTCAAACATCAGAGATCAAGAGGATAATATTCAGCTTTTGCCACTCGACTGTTAATTCCTTTCAATTAATGTAATTAAGGTCAGATAGGTTCTATGAAAGGTAGGCAATCCACTCACCCAGTGCAAGGCGTGGAGATGCAAGTCACTTGCAGTTAATTTATAGCTTTGTTAACAGGAATCAATTTAAGCTAAAATCATTATCCGAAGGCAGTCAAAACAAATCAAGTATGTGAATAGATCTGGCTAGTTATGTGCTCTGGACACTTCAGCTCATAAATACTAAAAGGTAGGAACATACATTTGACAGGTAAGGCAGATGAACTTAGATTTTGGATTAGTACATATAACAACGATGTTAGTAGCTATTACAGAAACTTGATTGAGAGAGGGACACATCTGGCAGCTTCATGTTGCAGGATTTAGATGTTTCAGATGAGATAGAGAGGATGTATAACGGGTGGGGGAGTTACTGATAAGGGAGAATATCACAGCTGTACTGGACGGAGGCCACCTCAGAGGGTTCATCCAGAGTGGTCATATGGATGGAGGTCTGGAAGAGGAAGGGTGCAATCACTTTGACGGGATTGTACTGACAGGCCGCTCAACAGCCAGCAGGTAATCGAGGAACAGATATGTGGACAGATTATGGGAAAATGTGAAAACAACAGGGTTGTTGTGGTGGGTGATTTTAACTTCCCCTATATTGACTCCCTTAGTGCCAGGGGCTTGGATGGTAATTTGTTAGATGTGTCCAGGAGAGTTTCTTGAAGCAATATGTAAAAATCCAACTAGGGAAGGGGCCATACTAGACCTGGTGTTGGAGAATGACCCTGGTCCAAATTTCAGTGGGGAAGTGTTTCAGGAACTTTGACCATTATCCTGTAAGTTTTAAGTTACTTATGGATAAATGTACACGTAGTCCCTGGGTGAAAGTGCCAATTTGAGGAAGTACAAAAATATTAGACAGGAACTGGAGAACGTAGACTGAGGGCTGCTGTTTGGGAGTAAATCCATATCTGTCTTGTGGAATCTTTTAAAGGCCTATTGATTAGAGTTCAGGACCAGCATGTTCCTGTGAAAATGAAGAATAAGGATTACAAGATTCAGGAACCTAAGATGACAAGAGAAATTGTGAGCTTAGTGAAAAAGGAAAAGGAGGCATACATCAGATTTTGGAAACTGAAGACAGACAGAGTTCTCAAAGAATACAAAGAAAGCAGGAAGGAACTTAAATAAGGAGTTAGGAAGGCTAAACAGGACTATGAAACGTCCTTGACAAACAGGATTAAGGAAAATCCTGAGGCATCTTTCTATTCATATATGAGAAGCAAGAGGGTAGCTCAGAAAATGGCAGGTCCTCTCAAGGACAAAGGAGGCAACCTATGCATGGAGCTGGAGGAAGCAGATGAAGTCCTTAATGAATACCTTGCATTGGTATTCACAAAGGACAAGGACATGGTAGGTGGTGAATCTGGAGAGGGGAATGGTGATATTCTTGGTCAAGTTAATATAAAAAAGGAGCAGGTGTCGGGAGTTTTGAAAACTGTCAAGGTAGACAAATCAGCAGGACTTATGGTATGGGATCTGTCCCAGAATACTAAGGGAAGTGAGGGAGGAAATTGTTGGGCCTTGTATAGAAGCTTTGTACCCTCTTTAGTCACAGGAGAGGTCCCAGAGGACCAGAGATTAGCTAATGTTGTTCCCTAAGAAGGGCAACAGAATAATCCAGAAAATGACAGGCCTACAAGCGTTACATCAGTAGAGAAATTATTGAGGGAAGATCCTTGGGGACACATTTGGAAAAATATGGATTTATTAGCAACAGGCAGCATAGCTTTGTGTGGGAGAGGTCGTGTCTGATGAACTTGATTGAGGTTTTTGAGGAAGTGACAAAGATGATTGATGAGGGCAGGGCAGTGGATGTTGTCTACATGGACTTTAGCAAGGTCTTTGACATGGTTCCCTCCTGGCAGGCTGACAAAGAGGGTGAAGTCATTTGGGATCCATGGTGAGCTGGTCAGATGGATACAGAACTGGCTTGGTCATTGAAGGTAGAGAGTAGCGGTGGAAGGGTGTTTTTCTGACTGGAGGTCTGTGACCAGTGGTGTTCTGCAGGGATCAGTGTTGGGACCCCTGTTGTTTGTAATGTATTTAAATGATTTGGAGGAGGATGTAGATGGTCTGATTAGTAAGTTTGTGGATGACATAAAGGTTGGGGATAGCTGCAGATAGTGAGGAGGATTGCCAGAGGATAAAGCAGGATACCACCTGATTCACTAATATCCTTTGGGAAGGAACTGCCATCCTTACCTGGTCTGACCTATATGTAACTGCAGACCCACAGCAATGTGGCTGTCTTGTAACTGCCCTCTGGACAATTAGGAATAGGCAATAAATACTGGCCTAGCCAGTGACGCCTATATCCTGTGAATAAGTTTAAAAAAATGGAAATACATACACTAGAGGCTTTGGCAGAGAAATGGCAGATGGAATTTAATCTGGACTTCTTTTTGGAAGGTCTAATGCAGGATAGAAGTATACAATAAATGGCAGAATCCTCAGAAGCATTAACATGAAGAGGGATCTAAGCATACTTGTCTATGGTTCCCCGAAAGTGGCAACACAAGTATATAAGATGGTCAAGAAGGCATATGTCATAAAAACAGAAGTTGCTGGAAAAGCTCAGCAGGTCTAGCAGCATCTCTGAAGAAACATCAGAGTTAACATATCGGGTCTGGTGACACTTCCTCAGAACTCATGGTAGCTAGTAAAATGTCGGTTTGTATGCGGAAGATAGGGTAGGGGGAGGTGGTAGTAAAGGGGAAACGATAGGTGGAGATAGAGTCCAAAGAGAGAGAAGAACAGTTGGACAGACAAGGGGTTGATAATGATCTGGCGAGGAGAGTGAATTGCTATTAATGGGGACTGTTGGTTGTTTTGTTTTGTTTTCACTTGAACAATAGGTAGTGTGTAATGGCAGACTATGTGATAACAAGGCTTGGTATGGTGGGAAGCGGGATAGGACGTGAGAGAGTCCAGGCCCTAAACTCGATTTTGAGTCCAGAGGGCTGCAAAGTCCCCAAATGGAAAATGAGATTTTGTTCATACACTTGTGCTGAGCTTCGCTGGAATGCTGCAGCAAGCCTGAGACAGAGATGTTGGCCAGGGAACAGGGTGGTGTGTTAAAGCGGCAGGCCACTGGAAGCTCATGGTCTTTTTTTGTGGGCAGACGTAGATGTTCTGCAAAGCAGTCACTCAGTCTACGCTCCATTTCCCATTGCAGAGGAGACCCCAATGTGGAATGTGTGAAGTGCAGGTAAAGTGCTGCTTCACCTGGAAGGTATGTTTGGGCCCTTGGATACTGAAGAGGGAGGAGGTAAATGGGCTGGTGTTGCACCTTTGGTGTTTGCAGGAGTGTTAACATTTCGGGTCCGGTGACCCTTCCTCAAAACTGATGGTAGCTAGGAAAATGTCGGTTTATATGCAGAAGATATGGTGGGGGGAGGGGTTGAGGAGTTAATGATAGGTGGGGATAGAACCCAAAGAGAGAGAAGAACAATTGGACAGACAAAGGAGATGTTGACTCTGATTTTTCTTCACAGATGCTGCCAGACCTGCTGAGCTTTTCCATCAACTTCTGTTTTTGTTCCTGATTTACATCATCCACAGTCATTTCGGTTTTTATTAAGGCACATGGCATGCTTGCCTACATTGTTCGGGCACAGAGTATAAAAGTGGCAAGTCATGTTGCAGCTGTATAGAATTTTAGTTAGGCTACATTTGGAATACTGCGCACAGTTTTGGTCACCACATTACCAGAAGGATGTGGAGGTTTTAGAGAGTGTACAGAAAAGTTTACCAGAATGTTGCCTGGTTTGGCCAGTATTAGTTATGACTAATGAAAAACTTGGTTTGTTTTCACTTGAACATCGGAGGATGAGGATTGACCTGATAGAAGTTTACAGAATTATGAGAGACATGGATAGAATGGATAGTTGAAGTCTCTTTCCCAGGGTTGAATTGTCAATTACGAGGAGGCATAGGTTTAAGGTAAAAGGGATAAAGTTTAGAGGAGATGTGAGAGGCAGGTTTTTTGCATAGAGGGTACTGAGTGCCTAGAATGTGCTCCCAGAGGATGTAGTAGGAGCAGATACAATAGCAACATTTAAGAGGCATCTTGACATGAATAGGCAGGGACGAGAGGGATATGGAGGGGAAAAAGGTTTTAAATTCAAAAAAGCATCATGTGTCAGAGCAGATTTGGTCGGTTGAAGGCCTGTTCATGTGCTGGTTTCTTTGTTCTTTGTACATTTACACAGTCCCTTTCATGTTCTCAGGACATCCCAAAACATTGTACCTATGAGGTAACTTTTGTAGTCTATTCTGTAGACAAATGCAGCAATCAATTTACCCACAAAAGGTCCCAAACCATCAATGCTTTAAATGATGAGATCTCCGTTTGAGTGATGTCAATTGAAGGATAAATATGACCAAGAGTAAGATTCAGATTTGTTTTCCGTGGGACCTTTCATGTTGAATTAAAAACACGCACAGGCCTTAGTGTTTAGTATCGTCTCCAGAAGCAAACAGGCCCAAAGTGAAGTTATAGCCCAGATTATGTGGTCATGACTATAACTCAGAACCCTATGCACTCAGAAACAAGAGCAAAGGGTGAGATGTTCCTGACAAAGTGATTCCTTTGAAACCATCTGAAGCTTTTTTGGAATAGGTAGCTCGACAATCAGAAAGCTCTTCATACGGTTCCTCTCCAATTATCCCTTCATCCTAATCTCACTTCCTGCACATTTCCCATGTTCTTCCCAAAGGCATTTATTCTTGCTTTGAAGCTCTTTTTCGTCTCTTCCTGCATTGTGAGGTGCATTGTAAAAATATTGGTATTCTTAACTGCACACCTATACAATGAAATAGTTCTGCAGTCCACATCATGAAAATAGCATTGCAAAGAAGAACACCTTTCCCACACTTCAGCTTCCACCAAGGAGAACCACATACAATAATTCAACCAACCTGCAGCAATGGAGAAATAACAGCCTTGATGAACTGATTCTCCCATGCATTTCTCGCTGTCTTTGAGGACAGCTGTTCGTCCCATCCTTTTTGGTGCACTGGGCAGAAAAGAAAACCATTCAGTACAAAGTTCTTTTTGTGTATACATTTCATAGAAACCGATAACGTACACTCTCTACAGGTCTTTCTTGGTGACTTTTGGGGATGAATGTTGTCCTTATAGTTGAAAATAAAAATTGGTTTCTAAGTTGTTAATTTAATAAACATTTATATTACGATCTAGGTAGATTAAACTGCAGACTTCAAAGGTGCATGCAATATACACCTAAGAGGCTGAGTTATGATTGACATGAATATTCCTCAAAGTGAGTTCTGTCAGTGCATGGAATGATAAAGAAAAGGGGAATTTTTTTGAGGTGCACATTAGTGGTATAGACAAAGTAACATGTTTCCATGTGCAATGTGTCCATGTAAAGCTGCTTGAATCAGGTGAAGCCACTGGATGGCATGATGGCTCAGTGGTTAGCAATGTTACCTCACAATGCCCGGGCCCAGGATTCGATCCTAGGCTTGGGTGACAGTGTGCAAGTTCTCTCTGAGTCTGTGTGGGTTTCCTCCCACAGTCCAAAGATTGGCCATGCTAGATTTCCATAATATCCAGGGGTATGTAGCTAAGTAGGTTAGCAATGGCAATTTGGGGTTATAGAGTAGGGGGCATGGGTTTGGGTGGGATACTCTTTAGAGGGTTGGTGTAGACTCAATGGGCCAAATGGCCTCCACATCTTTGGTCTGTGGGAGGAAACTAGAGCACCCAGAGGAAACCAATCCAGACACAGGGAGAATGTGCAAACTCCACTGGCCTGCTTCCACAATGCAAGGTTCTCTGATAATGTAAGATAAATACATGTAAATCCAAATGAATACTGTGGGGTTGTATTTATCTGTGATTACACTGGCAGCTTCTGACAGTCTAGTAGGGAGTAGAACCTCTGCTGCCTTTCATTCGGGTAGCTGGGTTAAAATGGGTGAGAGTGACAAACGGTGAGCCTCCCAATGATGTGCTGCAATCTCACACTATAAAATCCAAAATTGGAGGTCGATATACTGAGGGAAGTGAGGTGAACAGTACTGTACTCTTGGTCAAAAAGTCCCATTCTTCTGCTTGTGGAATGCCAGACTTCCACCCACCCAACCATTCCCAGCACCAAAGGCATGTACGTCATGGACTGACGATAGATTTACAACTTTACTTGGGATTAAATGTTGCTCTACTGGAGTGCTGTTTACATCCTATTTTCATTCAAAATGACCTAAACCTTTGACAAGAATACTCTACCATTACCTTTAGTGTGATTCATAAGTTCATTAATAACCAGGTGGATGCAGGTAGCTGTATCATCAATGTTCTTCCCCAGTGACTTTCCAAGCTGGGTCAGATCGGTTTCTAGATGCTGCCACAGGAACTCGGAGACATTTGGTACATATGGCTTAATTATTTCTTGAATAATCTGAGGAAATGAATGGACAGAGTTTTGGCCTTTTCAACTTTGTAGAAAATGCATTCCAAAAAAGGCAACTCTCTGCAACTGTTCACCTTTTTTAAACAAGAGACTCTATCACATCAATCCATACCTTTAAATAAGTCGATTATTTCAACTCTCCTGCCACACTAGGTGCATTTCAAATGACAGATCACTACCCTGAAACAACTACTTTCAGTGGCTGCTGTACAAATGAATTTATTACGGACAAAAGAATTAGAAATGATTGACTGAAAATTATTAAGCAATGGTAACATTTCACATTGATGTGAAAGTCCATGGTTTGCTATTTTAGTGGATATGTAATTTTTAATATATTCTCTATTATATATGCAAGACTTTTCTTTAGATCTTAAAATGCTATTATTACACTGTAGAACGTTCCAAATCCACAACCACTTCCTCCTAGAAGGAAAAGGACAGCAGATACATGGAAACACCACCACCTGCAAGTTTCCCTCCAAGCCACTCACCATCCTGACTTGGAAATATTGGAAACTTCTTTCCCTATCACTGGGTAAAATCCTTGCATTCCCTCACAAACAATGCTGTGGGTCTACCTACACCACACAGGCAGCAGTGGGTCAAGAAGGTAGCTCAGTCCCAATTTCTCAAAGCCAATTAGAGATGAGCAATAAAACATAGGTCCAACCAGGAGCACCCAGATCGGTGAATGAACATATATAAAACTAAATCAGGCTCAAATAATTTTATTAGAAAAGAGTCAGTTACCTGATGATGGTGAAATGAGCCGAGCATCATTGATACATGTGTCAGTGTCCGCAATAACAGGAAAGTAACGGGAGTCATCTGTCGATCAGGTACAACAACTTGACTTCTTCTTGAGGCGTGTCCCAAGACATGACCAGTTTTAGTTTGATCTGTGTGACTACAAAAGAACCACAGACCAGTTCAGCCTTGAGATTCCTGGAAGTCTGTTCTGTTTCAGGAAGTGACCTCACCTGAATTCATTGATTTCTTGCACTGGCCAACTTTTATTTGCTGTGTGTGGTCAGTTCAGATTTGACTCAAAACCACTCACTTCTGCTGGCATGGTATTGCTGCTTTTAACAGTCAGTATTACCATCCAGTGTATCTTATTGTGTAACTGAAATTACCATAGGTGTCCTTTTCTTCAAAAGTATATCGAGAGATAAGGTCAGTGTTATTCATTGTTGCTGGCTCAAAATCCTGGAACTCCCTCCCTAACAGCATTGTGGATTAACTTACAGCACACTGTCTGTGGAGGTTTAAGAAGGCAGCTCACCACCATCTTCTCAAAAGCAACTAGGGATGGGCAATAAATGCTGGGCCCCAGCTGTGACGCCCACAGCACGTAAATCAATAAAAAGGTGTTGGGCATGTTCAGTGAGGTGGTCACTCTGCAGGTGAAGATTGCACAGGTAGAAAGAGAATGGGTGACCACCACACAGAGTTCAGGAGGAGTCACCTGGGCTATCTCTTTCTCTCTCTCTCTCTCTCACTAACAGATTTTCTGTTTAGGACACTGCTGAGGAAGATGGTTTATTGGGGGAATGATGTGAGAACCAAGTCTGTGGCACTTGGAGTGGGTCAGATGCACAGTGGAGATTGGGAGGGAGGTGTGAGTGCAGTACTGATAGGGAATTCCTATGTAAAGGGAATAGATGGATGTTTCTGCAGCTGGAGATTTGACATCGGGGTGGTAAGTTCCCTCCCTACTGTCAGGGTCATGGACAACACTGAGGATGATACTGCAGGATATTCTGAAGTGGAGAAAGAGCAAACAGAGGTGATGGTCCATGACAGTATTAATGACACAGGTACAACGAGGTCCTGCAAGCAGGACATAGGGAACTAGAAAATAAATTGTAAAACAGCCTAGCAGGATTCTTATTGGGGCATTTGTTAGTTCCGTGGGGGAGGATTTAAACTAGGGTAGTAGGGACGATTGGAACCTTTGCTGGGAGACAAGAGCAAAGGATATGGAATAGGGATTTTCAGACTACAATGCGGTGAAATTTCAGAAAGAGGTGAACCTGTCAAATTCTCTACCGCAGAAAGCTGCAGAGTCAAAGTCAGTGAATATTCTTAAGAAATAAACAGACAGATTTCTAGAAGCCAAAGGGCTCAGACAGGATGGGGAAAGAGCGGGAGTCTGGCACTGATGTAGAGGATCAGTCATGGACACATTGAATAGTGGAATGGGCTCAATGGACCAAGTGGCCTACTTCTTATTTTCTAATTTTCTGAGAGAAATATACATACTGTTGCGAAGGAGTAAATCCCAAAACAGCATGGTGATTTTGTCCGCCAACCAGATTACCACAATGAGTGCAACGAGCAGTTTCTGTCGGTTTTCCACACTGTCAATTAAAAGAATTGTTCAGTTAGTTATCAACTCAAATCACTCACTGCCATGTGCAGGGAAGCTGCCTCACTGATTGGTTTGTATACACCAGCACAAAGCCTCAGCTCCTGGACATCCAAAACACAATCAAACAGAAGAAACATTCAGATGGTCAGGCGTCATCTCTGACAGAAGGAAACTTTTGTCACAAATTCTTTGGTAACACAGTGACATTGTCAATGATCAGTATTTAGCCATGAATGGAAAAGGGAGGATAAAAGTGCTAGGTAAAGGTGACAGCATGAGTTGTAAGTGCTTAAACGGGTAAGTGACATAACATCATAGTCACAGGCCCAGATTTTTCTGAATTGGGCAATCCAGAGACCATTTAAATGGTGGAAGGGACTGGATTTCTGGATTCCCTCCTCCATTTCATTTCTGACAATTTGGGCCTGCACAGGATATGGATACAGATAGCCAACCCACATTTAGATGGCACTACTAGCACTTCAAAAAATACTAAATAATCAAGAGGCTAAAGTGAGGGGAGCAGCAGGAAATAAACACAATAGCTGTCACTAACTAAAAAGTACCATGAAAACTAATGGGGCTAAAGGCCAATAAGTCCCCTGGACCAAGTGGGTTGTATCTTAGGATTTTAAAGAAGTTGCTGCAGAGATACTGGATGCATTGGTAGTAATCTTTCAAGAATCTTTAGATTCTGGAAAGGTTTTAGAAGATTGGAAAATTGCTGGTGTAACAATTATATTTAAAAAGGGAAGGAGACAGAAAAACAGATAACTATAGCACGGTTAGCTTAACATCTGGCATTGGGAAACTTTTACAGTCTATTATTAAGAATGGAAATACATATTTGGAAATACATTATGTAAGCAAGCAGTCAGCATGACTTCATGAAAGGGAAATCATGTCTGACAAATTTATCACAGCTTTTTGAGGGTATAACAAGCAGGATAGGTGAAGGGGAACCAGTACATGAAACATACTTGGATTTTCAAAAGATGTTCAATAAGGTACGGCACAGAAGGCTATTTCATATTCGGATGGATAGAGGATTGGCTAACTAATGGAAGAAACAGTGTCAGGATAAGGAGGGAATTGTCAGGAATGGGAATCTATAACTAGTTGTGCCACAGGGAACAGTGCTGGGCCCACAATTATTTACAATATCTATAAATGAATTTGAGGATGGACACGAATGTGCTATCACCAAGTTTGCAGATGACACAAAAATAGGTGGGATGTCACATAATGAGGATGACACAAGCAGTCTGCAGAGGAATACAGACAAGTTAAGGAACTGGTATAAATATTGGTACATGAAATGTAATGAGGGAAAATGCATTTTGGTAGGAGGAGTGGAAAAGCTGAATATTATTTAAATAAGGAAACACTGCAGAAAATGCAGCACATAGTTATTGAGGGTCTTCATGCATAAATTACAAACAGCTAGTATCTATGTGCGGTGGGTAATAGGGAAGGCAAATGGATTTTTTCTGAAGGAGGGTCTAGGCCCGAAACGTCAGCTTTCCTGCTCCTCTGATGCTGCTTGGCCTGCTGTGTTCATCCAGCTCTACACCCTGTTATCTCAGATTCTCCAGCATCTGCAGTTCCTACTATCTCTAAGGCAAATGGATTGTTGGTTTGTTACTCAAATGGAGTTGGAGTACAAAAATAGAGAGTTCTTGCTAAAACTAAACAAAGCAGTAGTCAGACCACACCTAAAATATGGCAAACAGTTTTGATCTCCTTATTTAAGTGTATACAAGTATTGAAGGCAGTTGAGTGAAGTTTTACTGGATTGTTCTGGTTATGGAAGGTTTTCTTCTGAGAGGTTGAGTAGGTTGGGTTTGTACTCAGTGGAATTTAGAGGAATAAAACTTGGTTGAACCATATGGATTCTTAGGGGGGTTGGTAGGGTGGATGTGGGGTGGCTGCTTTCCTTTATTAGAAAGTCTAGGACCTGTGGGTATAATCTCAGCGTAATGAGTCACCAATTTAAGACAGAGAGAGATGTGGAAGAATTTCTTCTCTCAGAAAGTAGTGAATCTGTGGAATTCTTTACCAGACAGCACTGTTGAGGCTAGGTCATTAAATGAATCCAAAGTTGAGACAGACAAGTTTTTAATCAGTAAGGGAATCAAGGCAGTTGGGGAAAATGCAGGAAACTGAAGTTGAGGATTATCGAATCAGTCATGACCTCAATGAACAGCATTGCAAATTCGATGGAGCAAGTGGCCTACGACTGCTTCTCCTCATGTTCTTATGCAGCACTCCCACTCTTGCCAGCTTCATTGCAGGGATAGGCATTTCAAACTCTCCTGCAATTTTGAGGAGTCACGAACAATGGGGGAGCTCGGGTACCAAATCATCAATAGAAAAAAATGACCAGTCAACAGTCACAGCCATTCATAGTACCAATTTCACAAGCTTTTATCCACTTCAGACCTCTCAGTCTTTTGTACACAAACACACAGCACAGCAAACTCCCACAAACAGCAATGTGATATCAGGTCTGTTAATTTGTTTTGTGACGTTGATTGAGGAATAAATGTTGATCAGAACCCCAGTATTTACTCACCTGTCCATCTTCAAAAACAATGTCATGGGATCTTATACTTCCATCCAAACAGGCAGCTGGGTCCTCAGGCTACCATCTCAGCATAGTGGCTCTGACACTGCCGTGCTCCTTTAGTGCTGCACAATGAGAAAGTGCTAGACCAGTGGGAGTTCAGGGTCATTCTCTGATAGAATGGTGGTGTTTGGTAAAGCATTTAAGTGTACTTTCATCTCCACTTGATTTCAGCTTTTCAGACCATTGAGAAGCTGTAAAGCAGGTGGATAGATGGGAGTGGGGTGGCACGATGGCTCAGTGGTTAGCACTGCTGCCTCACAGTGCCAGGGATCTGGGTTTGATTCCAGCCTCGAAATACAGTGTGGACTTTCACATTCTCCCTCTGCTTGCATGGGTTTCTGCTGGGTGCTCTGGCTTCTTCCCACCATCCAAAGGTATGCCAGTCAGGTGGGTTGGCTATGCTAGATTGTCCATACTGTCTAGGGATGTGCAGACTAAGTGGATTAGCCATGGGAAATGCAGGGGTACACGATAGGTGGCTGAGTCTGGGTGAGATATTCTTCAGAAGGTTGGTGCAGACTCGATCGGCCGAGCAATCTCTTTCTGCACTGTAAGGATTCTATGAGTGAGTTACATGGGCGAATGGAGTAGTTGGGTAGGGACAAGCTGGTTTCTCTGGCTCTTACTTAATGGATTAGCATTGCAGCACAGATGAAATAGTTCAAAGATGACTGAGTTAATTTGAGTAGCAGGTCAAGACAACTCAAGTAAAACTGAACGAAAATTAGGTTAAGAAGAAAAAAACCACGATTCTTGACCCTAATTGAAACCTCACTTCACCATTATCTTTGGAGTGTCTTTAACTCTGGTGGAGCATTTGTGGAAAAGAAATCAAATGTGAATAGTTCAGATTTCATCCCTTCCGGCTCATGTTTGCCCCCTGGAGGATTAAGTGTGGAGCAGCTCCACATCCCAAGCAATAACTTAATGAGTGCTAGGATTAATTTACTGTCTAGTATGTAGGAAATAATATACTATGTACTAGCCTCATTTAAAAGGGATACAGCAAAGAGATGACTGACAATTTAATTCTTTAATATTGATGTAATGGAAATTAAAAAGGCAATCTAAAACTATTTTTAAACCTTATATAAATACTTACAATAAAATGGATACTTACATTAGCAACTTGAATATGTTCACCACATGTACACTCTGCAATGAAATACAGAAAGTGGGAGGTGCTTTGTTAAGAGCGCAGCAAAGTAATATAGTTAGAGAAAATTCCATCTTTCTCTATAATTGGATTTAATTGTCCAGCTCTTGGGTAAGTATCTTAAAAATAACACTTTAGAAGGCAACAGTGTTTTCCACCATATGTATCAAGTGTTAACCTTGTCTTCCTTGAAAGGAGAAATACCCTGCAATACATCTGCCAGTCACACTGACAATGTGTTGCATTGTGGTACTTGCAACATTTGTCAATTCTGACAGACACTCAAATATTAGAACAAGAGTGGGACTTAGCATTTAAAAATGCAATGGAAACTGTATTAGCATCAGCAAGAGCTCTACATTCTTATATAGTTGACAGTTAAATCTGGATATCTCAGAAACACTTTAATTCCTTGCAGTCATTTTCTGCTCATCTGTCGTTTTGTAGCAGTCAGAATATTAATATGGTCTGGCATGAATATTTTAGCTCTAGTATAATAAAGCTTTGGTGTATTTATGTTGCAGTGAAAATGCAATTATTTATTCTTGTTATTAAGAAATACAATCCTTCAAGTGAAGTTATAAATCGCACATGTGAAGTATCAACAGAATAACCCTATTCATAAGAGACATTTGGCTCACTTCTTGCTGTGAATGCTAAGGTCTTTTTGGTGATTATCTTCACTTTTGAACAGTTCTGACATTACCCCACAAACTGCACTATTGAGTCACTGCCATTCCAGAAAACCACGTTTAGCAAAATCTGAAAGAACTGCAGATGCTGTAAATCAGAAACAAAAGCAGAAATTGCTGGAAAAGCTCAGCAGGTTTGGCAGCAGCTGTGGCGAGAAGTCAGAGTTAACGTTTTGGGTCCAGTGACCTTTCCTGAAACATCGCTTGACCTGAAACATTAACTCTGATTTCTCTCTACAGCTGCTGCCAGACCTGCTCAGCTTTTCCAGCAATTTCTGCTTTTGTTACGCAAAGTCTGAATTATTTACAGAACCACCAATTTTCTCAACAATCTGAAAGCATGTTTGAGTATTTGGAAGGCTTGATGCAAGTATGATAAGCATGGCAATGTGAAAGTACAAATAAGTGAATGTAAATATTAACAAATAGCACTGAGAAAAACACAGAAGTAGAGTCAGAGGATAGCACCAAGTTAGTTAGGCTGATAAATGTGCCTCTGGACAACAATACATTTAAATACAGTTGAGTCCAAACAAGGACAACAAAGGGTCATAAATCCCCCAGGGAATGCTAAACTATTGGGGCTGTATTTTAAAAGTCCATTTAGAACGAGATCCAATCTAACAAAATATGATCTATTAGTACATGAAAGTTGAGCGGTAACAGCGAGGGATTGAATGATCTACTCCTGCTCCTACTTTTTATACTCTTGTATTTAATTATTCACAAATTGAGATACGAAGACCATATATTTGGAATTAAGCGGCTCAGAAGACATCCATCCAATCCATTGTGTCTATATCTATATATCATGAAAGGGAAAATAGACAGCATGGGCAACAGGGGGGACTGAAAGAGCAACAGACAGCATAGGTTTACTGGTAATTACAAAGTACATATTGCAAATTGGAGATGTGAACATGTAATGGCATGATTGGGTAATATAATCATGTGTATTAGTTTGAATATGATTGGATAATATAGTCATATGTACAACCTTGGAATTATGCATCCAAGGTTGGACAGAAATACAACAGAAAAGTGTGTAAAGCTTTAAATGGAAGGTATTACTTGAAGAAGTAGTCGATTGGAAGTTTCTTATCTGTAAGAGTAGTATAAAACCTTTGTTCTAGTGATGAAGAGCTGAGTTGTGAACCATTTTCTTGAGTATTCCTCCCATGCACAGATGAATAAACTTATAAAAAAGATACCCAAGTGTCATCTGGTATAAGAGAAAATAAAGGCTAGAATTCACCTGTAACAAATGAAAGCTTCCAATTATTTTCTTCCTCCAGTTCTTTCCCCGGGCCTGAACATATGTCCTTTTAACTCTTTTAGACTGAAAGTAAAGCTTGTTCAACATTATCCCCATCAAACACTCCCAGGTCAGTGACAAGATGGGGTTAGATACTGAGTAAAGCTGCCTCTACTCTTTAAAACTGAAAGCAAAGCTCCCTTGACTGTCCCCATTAAACACTCCCAGAACAAGGACAGCTCAGGGTTCGATACAGAGTAAAGCTGCCTCTACATTGTCCCCTACCAAAGTATATATTCAGTGCCCTTTGGAAAATTACTATTGAAACTTCTACCACCCTGTCAGACAGTGAATTCTAAAGCTAACGTGAAATGGATAATGTAAATATTAAAAGGACATATTCAATTTGCCTTACCAACAATTTTTTGAACACATATCATATAGTGTAGATTTTCCTATTAATTTCACATGAGGGACAACTCACATAGGTCAAACACCTCTTCCCTTACTTTTTGTATTTTGACAACATTAAGGCAATTGAGCTCCTACAACATTCTGATGTTTGCTTGCAGCATACAAGGCTACTATAAGGACCGGGAAAATTTCTTCTTATAGGTTATCATGAAAAGTGAAAGATCCCTGAATATTAAAAAAGTGTACATTTGAGGTACATAAACAAATTTTAATTACATACAATTTTAAGTATTTTAAGTCTACATTTAATCTTTTTGGTAAGGATATTACAAACAATTAAAGACACAGTGATGAACGACACTTACGGTACCAAGTCACCTTCTCTCGAGCTGCTAGCCGAACTTCACTAAAAACATCTTCTGGCATGGTAGGTAAATAGGCATGCTAAAAGTGGGAGAACACAATGTTATAATGGGTCCCCTCCTGCTGTCAAGATGTTTCCAACATCAGCATCACTGATTTTTCCAATCCAGAGGGAAATACAAGTAAAGAAACAACATTGGGATTTCTGAATCCCAAGTCCAAGGAAATTCTCTCTAGTCCCAAGTATGGCTTTGTATCAAATTATTCTAAAGTTTAAATATTTCAGAGCTGGAGCAGCACTCTTATGACATTAGATCATTTTAATAAGATTCATGATCTTGGTCATCCAAGAGAAGTTAGCACTGTTACTAAATCAGAGAACAATTGCATTATTCTTAGAGCTTGGAGATGCAACACATGACTTCAAATCCTAGTTCATGAATAGAACATAATGGTAAACTTCTCAGCATGACCACTATGATCAGCTGGCAGACTAGTAGGAAACAGCATCCATGACTCTCTTTTACTGTTAAAGTGATGGGAATCTGGGTTGCAGTCATTGGCGGTATGGTGGTGGGGCAAATTGGGAATGCAGAGGTGACTGTAAGAGGGGAAATGATCAGGATTAGTCACTTTCAATCATGTAGTGATTTGTTGACAGCAACAGAGAATTACGTGGTCCAGACTGTGATCCCACCGAGTGAAGAAATGTGCTAATGAAGCATTGGCAGCGGAGTTCACACTTACAAATGACAGGGAGTGAGAGAGAATGTAATAAACATTCAGTCCTCTTCTATAGCCTAGGAATGCTTTGTGATGGGGCTTTGCTGTTTTATTGTAAACACCAAGTATCGTAGACATTGAGCAGTGAAATTCTTCTCAGGAGGCAAGACTGGGCGGGATGAGTTGATAGTTTAGATGAATGAGGAGTGATCTTATTTGAAACATTGATGATATAGAGAGGACTTGAAAGGGTAGATGCTCAGAGGATGTTTCTCTTTGAGGCACAGTTCCAAAATAAGGGATCTCTCAATTAAGATCGAGATGAAGAGGAATATTTTCTGTTTGAGGACTGTCATTGTTTGAATGTTGTTCCTCAGTGATCATTGGGGGCTGGGTTATTGAATATTTACAATGAATTAGATTGATTTTTGGTTGATAAGGGAATTGGCATAGGAAGAAAAGAGAGTTAAGGGTTCATCAGATCAGATGTGATTATATTGACTGACAGGTGCAAGGACTGTCTCATTTGTTATTTGCTTTTGACAGGGTCACTCACGTGTGCTGCTTTAAGTACCAGGATGAGAAAAGACTAGTAAATTGTGATAATCCTATGGTGTACCTTTCAAATCACAGAACACAGGGGCAGGCCATTCAGTCTTTAATGTCTATGCTGATTTTTGAAATTAGCTAGCAAATAGTTCCACTCACTGGTTCTTTTGCAACAGCCCTACAAACTTCCCTTTTCTAGGGGTTCTGGGTGACCAAGTGCATGACTTAGAACTTTGGAAGAAAATTGGCTTATAGGAATTGTGTGTTTGTGACTTCCTCACCCTCATTTCTCCAGATTTGAAAGCAATTTTGTAGAGTGGGGATGACAAAACATTCTTTCCACAGATAAAAACCAAGGCTGCGTGCACGATTATTTCAACCAGGATGCGCCGTTGGTTTGACTGTTTTGCTATGATCCATCGGGAAGATTCTCGATTTCCAACTGCATTTTCCACCAGTTTAGTGCAGAAATCCTTCAGGTCTGCAGCCTCAAAGAGTTTACTATCCTTAATAAATGTCTGCAACATCTCGATTAACTGAAATATAGCAGATTATACAAAGTCAATGCATTTGTATCACAATTTATTTTCTCATTTACAAATGAGGCTGCTAATCTACTCAGCTTTAAGTGATGGAAATTTCTTTTGTATGCAAATATATGGGACAAGAAATATTAGTGCACTCTTCCAAATTGTCACCGAGCACTGGGATCAATGACCAGGTCATTTTATAAACTCTATTTAAAATTATTGATTTAATTTGGGTTCTGAGAGCTGTTAATTATTGTTAAAATTTTTGACAACATCCATAGATACAATTCCTGTGCCCTACCTCAGAACCTGAGGAGAAATGGAGCTCACAGTGAAACTACTTAACTTTGAAAGTTCATATCAAAACTGCTACTAATGTCTGCAGAAATTATGAGGAGAAACAACGTGAATGTAGAATGTGGTGCAGGCTTGCACCTGGGAAATTGACCTGAGTCTGTGGAGCTACAGCAACAAATTTCTCCCTCATTATGTTTTGGTAAATTCACACTCAGCCATTAGAGCTTCAGCGTCTCAATGTTTGTTTCAGATTGGCATTCAGGAGCAATACGTGTGATAATTCATTGAATTAATACAGACCTTCAGCTTGTACTATCTATGCTACTTAGCAATGTCAAAAGTTCTTACTACAACTTACATATGAAAAGTCTCTATGATGGTGCTCTTACTGTAAAAGTGCACAGATAATTGTTCCAAATGTTGATGTAATGCTCAACACTGCCAGAAAACAGACAGAGTTCTCTTCTAATCACGATCTTCAACATTTATGTTTCCTAATATCCATTCTCCAAGTTTATCATGGCTAAAACATGCAACACTCTGAGCTGCAGTGGGAAGAAGTCATCTTGAAAACACTTCCAACACTGAGCAGTATGGCGTCACACTTTTGTAGTCATGTGCCCATTGCAAACAGAATGTCTGTCCTCGTTTTACAGAAATCTCTTCAAAAAAAATCTTTATTGATTGCTCGATTTATGAATGGTTCATCGAGACCTTATAAACATTCCTGTATCACCAGGTGTACCTCCTTTATGTATTTACTTCCATTCTGAATACAAGTGAACGAACATCATCCCCAAATATAACACCTTTTCTGTAGATGTAACTGGTGGTCCTCATGCCTCAACTAGTTACAATCTATAATAATGACTTGGATGTAGCATGGATAGAAGGCGCTATATTCATATGTGTAGATGCCACTAAAATGAGTGGGAAAGTAAGTTGCAATGAGGTTAATCAAAGGCTAATTGGTACTGCTGAGAACTGATGTTTAAGTTTGCTGTTACCATGGGTGATTTAGAGATGGGATTAAAAAGAAACATTCAGTTGTGTGCAAGATCACTCTGGATTTAAAAATAAAAAAAGTAGGTTGGCTGTTGCTTAAAAATCTTCCATTTCTTCCCTTGGGAAGTGCAGCAGAAACCAAATTAGCTATTCGTTCTCTTTTTTGTTCATTTATATTTCAATTGAGGTTTGCTGTTGTCTTCTTGAATAAGAGTGTCTAGTCATTCAGATGCCTATGCAATAATGTGCTAGATGCAAATTATTCTCGGTATAATTTCCCACACATCTGAAATTAGGTCAGTGATTGAATCTTACCTTTGGACTAGGGTGCAGACTGGAATCCTCTACAGCAAACAAAGATGTTACTTCACGGAAGAAGGCCAATGCCAGATAAACCCGTTGATTGTTTAAAGAGCACTTCAAAGCCTTTCAGGAGCAAAGATATAAAACAAATGTTTAGTGCTACTAAAATATGCTGGGTTTAAAACTAGCGTAAAACTGATACACGGCATTGAGGTTATTGCACTGTTAAGTAGAATAAGTAGAACCTAACAGAATTATTTGCAAATACCTTTAATTGGCTTGTCACAATATTCATTTGGCATTTCAGGATTGCCTGAGCAAGCACATCACGAATGGTTTTATACTCCTGTCCACAGAAAATAAAGCGATCCATCTGTCCATCTGTCCAATTAAGCTGGAAGAAACAATCCCCCTAAATGTAAGTACATTGAACAATACTGTGGTGCAATTCTGCACCAAAATTAAAATCTCCGCATTTAATCAATAATGGCCAATTATTTTACTAAGTTTTTTTTTAAAGAAAGCTTTGAACAAGGACAATGCATCGCTGGATCACATCATTTCATTTAGAATTGTAGATACTTTCAGCACAAAAGACCTACACATTTGGGCGCAAGGGTGGCACAGTAGTTAGCCCTGCTGCCTCACAGCAAAGTAGGTTGGTTGTTCAATTCCAGACTTGAGCGACTGTGTGTGCAGTTTGCATGTTCTCCCCATGTCTGCGTGGGTTTCCTTCAGGTGCTCCAGGTGCTCAGATGGCACGGTGGCTAGCACTGCTACCTCACAGTGCCAGGGACATGGGTTCAATTCCACCCTCGGGTGACTGTCTGTGTGGAGTTTGCACATTCTCCCTGTGTCTGCATGGGTTTCCTCTGGTTACTCCAGTTTCCTCCCACAGTCCAAAGATGTGCAGGTTAGGTAGATTGACCATGCTAAATTGCCTGTAATGCTCAGGGATGTGTAGATTAGGTGGGTTATAGCGGGGTGGGTCTGGGTGGGATTCTCTTCGGAGAGTCGGTGTGGGAGCTCTTCAGAGAGTCAGTACGGACTTGTTGGGCCGAAGGGCCTGTTTCCACACTGTAGGGATTCTATGATTTCCTCCCACAGTCCAAAGATGTGCAGGTTAGGTGGATTGACCATGCTGAATTGTCCCATAATGTCCAGCAATTAGCAGGGTAGATGTAGTAGCCATGGGAAATGCAAGGTTGTGGGGATAGGGTTGAGGGCTGAATCTGGGGTGGGATGCTCTTCAGAATGTTGGTGCATGACTCAATGGGCTGAATGGCCTCTTCCTACACTGTAGGGATTCTACAAAATGGACTCCAGTGGTTCAAGAAAGCAAGATGGGCAGTTTATCACCACCTTCAAGAGCACCTAGAGATGGGTAATAAATATTGGTCCAATGCCCTCATCCCATGAATAACTTTAAAACAAGACCATTTAGGCTACTGAACCTCTGTGCCCACATTTTTTGAAATTTTCATTTTACAGATTTCTATCTCTATTTTTTGAAAAAAACTTCAATTCTACTTTCCTTACTTAACCTTTTTGGTGGGCCATTTGAGGGCTAATTAAGCCACTGTTTGAAAATGATTCCTGACCTGTCGTGATGATGATTTTGGGCAGTAAACTGAAATTCATTTGTTCAGATACAAGTAACATGCTGTTAGACACATTTCTTAGCTAATCTTCTCAAAAAATCTATAGAGGTAATCTCTATTCGTTAGTGTTGCAGAATTATTTGGTAAAAACAGATATAATATTTACATATAATATTCAACATATTGCATTTAAGCACAAAGAATTAAATGCATTTAAACAATGAATTTAACCATCTCTATTTGGCAACATAATATGTTGATATTAGCTAATTATTTAAAATCAACTGAATCGATAAAATATTTCACCTGTTTTTCAATAATTTTGTCTGGAAACATCCAGTGGTAGTCTTCAAGTTGTTGTAAAGACTGAACAAATGCCATCCCATAATGATCATAGACTGTCCTCATTAAGTAAACTTGGTACCAGTCATTGCCAGAATGCAAACAAATCATTTTCATATGGTCAATGAAATTTGCCTCTTTGGTTTTGTGTTTCACGTCTGAAAACATAAGTATTTGAAAATTAAGAGTTCAAACTTATCCGATAATTCAAATTGCACAGGCCACTATAAAAGGGAATGTGTTGTATGAGTCCAAGCAGAGAATTCCTATTCACAAAGAGTACATTATGAATAGGATAACATTGTGGAATAGTTAACAAAAGGTACAGGAACAATGAAACCTGACTACAGTGGTAAAAACGTGTGTCAGTCAGCTGTGTTTTATTTGTAGCATTGTCCTGCTAAGTCACTAGCTGCAGGTTCCAGTTCCACTCTCGAGACGAAAGCACACACTTTAGGCTGCCGAGTGGACTAAGAAAGTAACATTACCATAGTCCCAGAGGATTACAGGACTGCTCTTTCATTACAGTTACCATGTGTCAGCAAGGGGAGATGTTGAGAAGGACAGTCCTTCATGGTAACCTCAGCCAGTGCAGGAATTGAACCCATGCCGTTGGCATCACTCTGCACCACAAACTAATTGTCCAGCCAAATGAGTGAACTGATCCCCACCATGCACTGCAGTAATGAAGGAGTGTAGCACTGCCCAAGACACCGTCTTTTTGCTAAAATGATTAAGCCATGGCCCCATTTATTCCTCAACCGACAAGCTTAACAAAAATATTTTTATAATCAGCTTGCTGTGCACAGTTGGCTGCCGCATTTCCCACAATGACTCTCTACACTTCATAATTACTTAACTGACTGTACACACTTGGGGATGTTGGAAAGCACGATTAAAATGCATTTTTTTTCCTTTCTGCACGCATTTGCCTCAACACGTCTCAATGGATTTCATAGCAACCATATCCAATTAACCAATTCCAATTAACATTAAGCAACCTACTTAATATCTATGCCAAGGCACCAAACACAGGCAAATGGAACTAGTTAAGTCTGGGATACCTGGTCAGCATGGATGAATTGGACTGAAGGGTCTGTTTCCGTGCTGTATGACTCTATGACAAAGTGCTGGAAAATGAGATTAGATTTAGCTAGGTGGTTGTTTTTGACCATCACAGAGTCAATTAAAGGGCTTTTTCTATGCGGTGGTCCTGCGTGACTTCATGAATTTGTAACCCTCTTTCTCCATTTCTAATGAACGCCTCTCACTATCGCACTAGCCACTATATTTTTGCTCGAAAAAGTTTGAGTGATAATATGTGTGAATTGAACTGATGACAAGAAAAGGAGGCATTCTTCCATTGCAGCTCCTGCCAATGTTCATGATGGTGGCAGCTCTACCTTTTGTCAAATTGGGGAGGAACAAAAAGATTGGATCGGTTGGATTAAAGTCTTGGATTGGTTAGATTCCAGCTGGGAATAGGCGTTAAACTGTCAATCTCACCTGAGGTTGGGACAATCTCAAAACTCAGTGTATGTCCTTCCCCACAGAGAGGCTGGAGATATGCCTGACTCTGTGAGCTTCGGTCAGTCTCACTAATGCGAAGCAGGCTAGCTAGAAACTGCCCAGCAGTTTGGAGACAGGCTGGAAGCAGGGCAGCCTGCACATTTTTTTCAGCTAGAGAATAGTTTATGTGCGATGTAGATTGGTGGGCATAAAATGATTGAAGGTTAGTGTTTTACCTGTGCTGTTATGTGACTCATGCAGCAGTTGAGCTGTAAGACTGAAGCAGAAACGCAGCCTGGCAATGTTCTGCAAGTATTCTGCAGCATTTTCATTACAGCTAGCAACCCTGCGCCTGGCAAACCTGCTGGCAAAGCTGCAGTTCTGTGTGAAGAGCTCTAAATTGCCAAGTCCTCCAGACTGTTCAAATTGCCCATTTATTGAGTCCTGAAAAGAGAGATACATTGAAAGATTCATAAGCATGTCACAATCCTTCAGCCACCTCTAGGAATCAGGTCAATTTAACCCCTTCTCTTTACCTCAAAACATTTGATGAACAGAAGATAAAGTTCTTGCAGGTCTTCCAAGAATATATTTTCTTCTAAACGTGAGAGGTACTTCTGCATAAAGACTTTTACTTTATCAAAACTATTGAGAGACATAAAAAGCATTAGCATCCTGAAATGTAATGGTGTTTCATTTATTAAATGGAATTTCATTTAATTGTTGTTAGTTTACAGGAACAAACACAAGAATACTTTCCACTGCTTAATCAATTCACCTAGTTCACCTTCCTTCCTCCAATTTCTCTCATCTACACCTTTAAAAAGAACATGGATGAGCTCTTGAAATGGTGCAACGTTCAAGATAAGTTGGCACAGACTTGATGGGCTGAATTACTTTTTCTGCACTGTATGACTATTATAATTCTAGACTGGGAGGATAATTTTAGGGTATATTCACACTGCAAATCTAGTGTCAATACAAAGTCATTTCCACTTTTCACTGGTGCTAAAATAGCTGACCTAACTCTCGACTGAAGTCATGTGACAGTGCCTGGCATATTCAAAAACAATTTTATTTACGTCCTGTGCTGAGTTAAAATCTCTGGGATATTGTCAGGCACTTTTCAAACTCACTTTTAGATATTTAGGGAATCCTACTGCATTACACTGTTGTCCATAGACTCCCGTCAGCAGAAAGGAGTTGCATTTGTCACAGGATTGAGGGCAAAGTTAGCAAGGCAAGCTGCTTGGGGATTGAAATTCCTTTAGGCTCACTTTTGGACTATGCCTTGTCTGAGAAGCTTGACGCTGGTCAGGAAACAACTAAAGAAATGTACAACAGGTCATTTGCCTTAAAGCAAGTCCCTGGAACTGGGTGGGCAATAGTAGGAACTGCAGATGCTGGAGAATCTGAGATAACAAGGTGTAGAGCTGGATGAACACAGCAGGCCAAGCAGCATCAGAG